CGAATTTTTCGATTTTTACCATAATAATCGTAATTCATTCGATTTGTAACTAGTCATATTTTGTAAAATTTAATTACAATTTTTTCCTCTTCCATTTTCGCCTAAAATCAACTCTTGAAAAGATACATAATTAAATAGGAAGAAAAATATGACATTTTCCGAATTTTTTTAACATATTGTGACGCCAAAAGTTAAGCCCACGTTTTTTTTTTATGCGCACAGAAAAATATTCATTTCTAGTGATATTTGGAAGCCAAAAAGCCAAAAATCTCCGTGAATATACGATTCACCAAAATATGGATTCTTTGAAACAGATACCGTCTGGACTATATGTATATTATAGGTTTCTCATTTTTACTCAAGTGACTCAATTTTTTTAATATTCATAATGCACTTCTTTGGGTGGTAAATACCAATTTCTATGGTACTTTTCAATCCGGCATAATGCGTTCGTTAAGTTTCAGCTATAATAAAATTCTGAATGCTTTTCCGACTTTTACATCCGCCATTTTTCATTCAGGAATTTTCGAATTCGGATTTCAGACTCGTTCGTAATCAGCGACCCAAAAACCTGCGGTAACAAAATTCAGGAAAAAATATTGAATAGAAAAATATGTTATTTAAGTTAGTGGGATCCTCGTCTGTAGGTGGTTTCCAACCATTAAAGAAATAAGTTATAATAGAATATATGTTTTTGGTATGTTTAGTATGTTATTAACCTACATTTATACAGGGTGTTTCAGAAAGACCTCCCGTAAATACATGGGGTGATAGTACGACAAAAATAAGAATTCTTTGTCTTATGGAACTATATTTCTATCTCTTCTTGTTTTCGAGATACAGAGCGACAAAATAAAATTTTTTAAATAGATTTTTTACGAAAATTTCCAAACAATGCGAAATATTTCTATAAAATTTAGTATTCCGGGGGTTTTAAAGATGCTAAATACGCTGGTCTAATCATTTTTTGTATATTTCATAGGGGGCGCTAGTTATGCTACATTCGTATTACATTATAAGTTCAAATCTTTTTTATGTTAGGTTTTTTCACATGGTGGATAAAGCTTCGAAGCGTGGATTTATTATTAAATAGTTACTAATCAATCGGATCAATTTCAGGCAGCACTGGGATACGAAGTGGATAACGCAATCAGTTGGGATTGCAGCGCATCTATCATATCAAAGAAATTTTTAGTTACTGCTGCCCACTGTATCGCAAATTTAAAACAATTGGTACCAAAAATAGTCCGCCTGGGAGTTACTAAATTAAACGAAACGAATCCACAGGATTTTTTTATAAAAAATATTACAGTATTTCCAAAGTACAATCCAACTTCGAAACACAACGATATCGCGCTGATAGAGGTCAATAAAGAAATAAAATACTCCAAGAAAGTTTGTCCAGCCTGCTTATATTTCAAAAATGACGACCCTACTGGCCTTATTGTAACTGGATGGGGGAAAACTTCGATAGGTATGTATTTTGTATTTATGCTTGACTAATTACACAGAGTTTAACAAAACCAAGAAACTTCGAGTGTGTACTATAGAACTCACAAAAATAATAGAGGTAAGCCATATATTATTTTCGAACTCTCAAATAATTTTTTGGCAAAACTTGAAATTTCTTGTACTGTTTGCAGTACTTACAATCGGTGTCACATTATGTTGTTAAGTAGTTGAGATTTAATTAACTTTTTATACTTTTTAAAATATATGAGAGGAATATTCGTAAATGTTCCGCGAATGTGTTCCCTTATGTAATTACAATGAACAAAACATTTATTTATAAAAATATAACATACAAATGCAGTGCTATTGAAACATAGGAATCAACATTATTTTTTATAGTGACAGTTTATATGTAGGTAATAAAGAATTGTTCAGTGACCTAAATATGGCAGATTTCTATTTTGTTTCACCTTGTACGTTCTACTTGATTCTGAATTCTCATCGATTTTGATGATCTCACAGGCGCTTTTTTGAATTACAGTACTCCACAGATAATTATCTGTGGAGTACTGTAGATCTATTATAATAGATCTGTTCCTGCAGCAGTTGAGGACTGATTTGATTCGTAACATTATACTCGCTGAAAGTACGTGACATTTGGCTGGGTATATCTGATAGTATGAAAACAGTTTGAGACTGCTGGAGAAACAAACCTAATAATCAGTGGCGGTTTTACCATAAGAGCTGCGGAGCTGCAGAACACATAAAATTTTATGTATTTAATCATATTAAATATCAACAAAATATTTAAAGAATCCAAATGTACTCGCGCTAAAATAAATCTAGGAGCTTATATTATTATTTATTGCGACGCGAGCTACGCTCCTTAATATATGCAACCTCATATACACAATGTGTGGACAGCGAACAATTATATGCGTCCTTTGTTTTTATTGGCTGATCAGGCACGTGACCCAGTACACGGAGATAGGGGCTTTTGCGGCTGCAATAGTGACAGCCACTGCGCTGCAGTCTGCAGTAAATGCAGTAATATTTCGTACGTGGTATGTGGTGGTTTATTTCTGCGAGCGGCACGTGTGAATATTTTCGTTTAGGCGTCTACGGATATTATAGTTATTAAAATGAATAGCGTTTCGTTTAAAAAAAAACTTTATTTGGTTCTCTGCCTTATGAGGATAAACTAAAAATAAAAGAAGTAAAAGTTATAAAAAAACAATAATGTATACACAAAAGCAGAGTGGGTGTGCGGGTGTGATTTAAAATATTCACTGTTTTGTTTTCCGTGCTTACTTTTCGGTGGGGATAAAGCATGGACAATATACAGTGTGAAAGATTTAAGTCATTAAGTCTTTAGGTAAAATAAACATAAGAAGTCAGTTAGATTCTGCATATTGGGATAATATACGGAAACATATGAACAGGTAATGAAAAATCGTCATGTATTATTTAAAATCATAGATTGCATAAAATTTTGCGGAGCTTTCGAATTAGCACTTCTCGGACACGACGAGACAGAAAATTCGGACAACCCTGATGTGTTTCGTGGACTCATAAATTTTAGTGTAGATCTTGACGACATTTTAAAAGAACATCTAGCCACATTGGTATGACCGGGATTTTCTGTGATTGTACCGGGAATTAGCTGTATGGTCCTGGATTTCGGATTTGCACGTATAACTCCCGGAATATAATATAATGTACATATATATAAAAAAAGATAAAGAAAAAATCATAATACGGCGAGGAAAATTAAAATTTGTTGAATCGTTGGTAAATTTCACAAACGATTTTTTTGTTTATAAACAATATTCAATAATTTAATAAAATTTTTAGTTTATTCTAATTTATTTATACCTTTAGTAGGTAATTCGTGAATAGATATTTCAAAAAGGTATCAATTTCAAAAATCATTCTTGTGAAAATCTGTGTTTTTTTATAAATGCATTGTTTCTTGAAATTCAGAACTGCCAGTAAAGCGCGTGACCTTGAAAATTTTAAAATTGTTCGCCTGCGGCGCCATTTACAGACTCCGAGAACTTAATATCCCGGAATTCAATTCGACAAATGTAACAACCCTAAGCAGAATACATTCAATCAATGTTCACGCGCCGCCACTGCTAATAATCATATGCCGTTACAGTACAACAATAAACAGTTCAGTTCTGTGGCGGCTATCGACTTCTATACCAGGGAGGGCGGAAATATTTAGGTACAAAGTATTGAAAAAAAATGGAATATAATTGGGTAGTTTTATTTTAAGTGCTATTGAAACATCGGGAAATTGTGCTCAACATAATTATTTATAGTATCCTTTTGTCCGGAATAAACTTTTCAATTACTTTTTCATTAAAGTTTAGTATTTCTCGCACCATAGATTTTTAATAGATAACATTGCAAGTTATGTTTGTCTGTCTTTACAATCTAATTTAAAATTTTACAATTTTAAAAAAATACACAAGAAAGAATACGGCAATACGTAGGTAACAAAATTTTACATCAGACGTAAACAAATTACGCAACCCAAAGTGGATAGTAAATATGCGCTACTATCACTTCGCCTTTCACTGTAGCTCTACGGTAACTATGACCACCACTGTAAACACTTTAGAGATTTAGGAGCGAGCTACGAGGAGCCCACGTATTCGCCGTTTTTTTAAATTAATTCTGCAAGTTTATTTAAATTGACTGAACATTACAAATGTAACATTTACTTTTTATTGTGTTTGCCTGCCTATACGGAGTGTCCGAAAACGAATAGGAAATACTTTAAGAATGATTTTCTTGAATGGAAATAAACCGATTTAAATTAAATTACCGTAGTACAATTTTGTTTTAAAAAATTATAGACGTTCAAATGTTTTATTTTATTTCATGTTAACTAATAATAACATAATTATTTTAGGAAGCAATTTTCTACTAAAGTAACTTGATCTTGAAGTCGGGTTTATTTTAATCGAAGAGGGTCACCCTTAAAGTATGGCTCATTCATTTCCGGACATCCTGTATATTACGGAGTAGACCAGAACTTGCGTTTTTAAAAAAAAAGCGGTGCGATTTTAGTGATCTCAACAAAATGAATTTTCCTTTAATATACAGGGTGATTTTAAAACATGTAGCCAACCTTATAAAGCAGAAACTAGAGGCCAAAATATACTGTTTGAACTAATTTACTTATATACCAAAATGCGCCCCTAACGAGTTACAGCCCTTTAAGGTTGAAATAAAAGTAAACATACAAATTTCTCCTAAATGTCTGAAGACATTTTTTTCAAATTAGGCATACCACCAATGCTAATAAATAGCCATGTTTTGAAGTAAATATCAATAAATGCATTGATGGCATGGCATGGGGTTAATGTAGGGGTAGTCTAAAACTTAACTTAAAAACTTAACCTATAAAATATGACTTCGATCAGAAAAATTACGTATTTCAAATGCATTACACTATTTTTTGGAAAAATATAGCTAAAATTTCTTTAAAAAATGTAATTAATTAATCTTAAAAATAGAAGACGATAGACTCTCGGTCCACAGGAAAATTTCTTATTTTTATGTTCTCTCAGCCCTTGAATTTAAGACATCTTTTCCGAATCACCCTGTGTATATATGACATACCTTCGTTACTATTGCTATGGCAATATCAGGCTTTCATTAAGAATGAGATACATGATAGATGAAGATCAAAACAGGATAATTCAACCAAACAAGTGTTTTTTTATGTCACCAATATTAGTGATATTTGGAGGAGCAGCATAATCATATCTTCAGAGTTACTGAATCTTATACATGGTGGCGATAATTCAATACCGAGTTTGGTCCACTGAAAACCATCTAAACTTAATTTTTTTGTAATGGAAGACACCGTAGGTATATTTTTTCAAATTTGGATGTGCCATTTTATTTTCTTTCCATCCATACTAAGGTTCCCCATACTTTCCCTCTTCTTGTTTTTATGTTATTTGAAGTTATTTGGGTACTTTACTAAAATAGTTTAATAAATTATTATTATTACGTATTCGTACTTAACTGCGAGGCTGGCTGTGAAAACTTTAGTGCGACTTTAAAATAAACGGAAAAGCTTTCAACCATTATTTGTCATCAAGAAATTGTTGTTGTACCAGTTTAAAACAAAATGGATAGAAATAATTACACACATGAAGTTATTATGAATTTATTTGTAATTTCTGGTAAATGTGATAGGAACATTAACAGAACATGTAGAACATTTAATGACACCTACCCGCGCCATTATTCTATGGCTAGAAATTGGCCTCAATGATTTGGGATCGAGGAGGATTATCCCTCTTTATCCCGCCTCATCTCGTGTAGGCCTGGACAGCCTTCGTAGGTGGGCCCCATCCGTCGTCTACCCCGACCGCAAATGCGGCCGGTGTAGGCGCTTTGTGGGACCTCCTTTTGTCCTGGCTGGGCCCCGCCGGCTAGGGCCCTTTCTTCTGGCGCTCTTCTTGCTTCGCCGGCTCGTCTGTGTAAACCCCGGGGGTAGTGTCATGTTTATGTGTGGTATGGTTGGGTAGGGTAGTGCGGCTATGCAGCCTGGGATGCGCTTTGCTAAGGTGGCCCTTAGGCTAGCGCGGGAGGGGAGGG